GCATCTTGGCTACAGCCACAGCAGGCTGGAGAGCACCAGGAAAGCCTCTGTGACCACTCCGGGATCCTGCTTTCCAGTCATGATCCTGCACAGTTCTAGCACTTTCTCTCCACAGCCCACTGAGGAATTTTTTTCCACTTCCCCCCCCCCCCCCCCCTTTTTAAAACACACCTCACCAGGTGTGGGACACATTTTGCCTCCACGGGCAGCAGGGGTGGCAGCCTGCCCTGGCACAGCTGCTTCACAGCTCCCTGCCTCAAGTCCCAGCTCCTAAACAACTTTTAAAAGGAAAACAGAGATTCTTTTCCCAACTTCAAGGAAGTTCCCAGCAGTCGGGGGTGCACAATCAAGGCTGCAAGTGCCTGTGCCAAAAGGTGAACGACAGACACCAATCCTGGCCCACGGGCAGCAGGGGTGGCAGCCTGCCCTGGCACAGCTGCTTCACAGCTCCCTGCCTCAAGTCCCAGCTCCTAAACAACTTTTAAAAGGAAAACAGAGATTCTTTTCCCAACTTCAAGGAAGTTCCCAGCAGTCGGGGGTGCACAATCAAGGCTGCAAGTGCCTGTGCCAAAAGGTGAACGACAGACACCAATCCTGGCAGGGAGCAGCTGCCTCCGTGCACCCGGTGTCTGGAGGTGACCAGAAGCAGCTTTGCCACCCTGCCATGCCAGAGCAGACACCAGCAAGGTCAGAAAGCCCCAAGGTGAGAGAACATCAGATATGGAGAAGCATCTCCACCACAAGGCTGCTGAGGTACCAATGCTCCTCTCCCACGCTGCACGCACTTGGTTCCCTCTCTGCTCTCAACTTCCAGTCTGGACTCTCACACATCCAGCCACCTTCAATATGATTCCATAAATTGCTTCAAGCAAAAGCCAAACAGGTGCAAAAACACTGAAGGACACACTGGTTTAAAGTGCTTTCAGCCCCACACCTTTGCTCCTACCCTTCATTTTGAGCTCCATGCTCACTTTTCACTCTCCTTTGCAGGGAGAGAGCACAACAGCCAAGACCAGCCCAGAACAACCCCTACATCTGCTCCTCCACACCCACCCAAGAGAGGTGGCTCTTTGTTTAGATTTAAAAGAGAATAACCTTTTTTTACTATTACAAAGTTTCATGGAAATGAAATAATACCATGTGGGAACAATCTAAATCCTGCCATTTGGCATATTCATTTAGGACAACAAAACAACATTTCTGGGAAGCCACCTGCACACACACTGACATCCACCAGCAGCTGAACAAAGCAGATGACAACCTACCTATGATGCATCAACTGATGCCTATATTCTTAGGAAGCCAAAATCTTTGTCCTCATTTCAAGATGAATTAACTAATACCCACCTGCTTTTAAACTCTGGGTTCTGTGCCTTTGAAACACAGTGTATTTGGAGTTCAAATCCCTGCTCTGTTTTGTCTTTTTTTTTTCTTTTGTGCTCTCAGATACAGGAGTTTGCATTAGAGCTGTAATCTTCTCTTTACTGAGAAGCTGAACAACTGAATTAGCTCCCAACAGGAGATGGCCAAGAATATACAAGAATGTGTATCCACAGGTATGACCATCCTTGGATGGAGCAGCAGTTCTGTTGTCTTTAAAAAAGGAACATTAGGAACCCAGAACTCTTATACTGATCATATTGTGACTTGGGTGGAGTAGGTCAGTCTGCAACCTGCAAAGGGACAAGCAAAGTTCCTAGCAGGACAGCTCATCCAAGCTGGACATCTGAATTTCCTAGTGATTAAGGGATTCTCCTGAGGAAGCAGCCTTGGATCCTAAAGATAGACTGAAAAGATGGGAGGATGCAGGCTTCCTGTCAGAGTAGCAGAATTTATTGCAATTCTCTTCCTCCAAGGAGCTTAGGGCACAGCTATAAACTAAGTTGTATCGAAAGCCACACATTCAATTAGAGCTTTTAATTATTATTTTCTTCCTGTCTAGTGACTTGTCTTCTGATCTACAAATCCTACATTGCTGGTAGGTGGGAGTCACCTTTGTTCCAAGCACAAACAGCGCTCTACTACTGCCCCAGAGCTTTTGTATTGTGGAAGGGATGAAGCTGTGCCACTTTTCACAGAGGATTTACCACAGATGTTATCCCTCCAGCAGGCCAAACCCAAGCATCTCTGCTATTACCAACTAGTACAGCCAGTGAAAAAAACCAGATAATTTCACTTACTCTGTGGCCACAAAAACTTTTTTGAAGTTACAGCCAAGCAGCAGCTTGTCTATAAATGTTACTACAATCAGGCTGTTTCTTACACTCTGCCTCAGAGCACCTGGTCACAGTCAAGATGCTGAGAGTGCTTGGTGGAAATGCTGGAAGCTTCTCCCAGCCCAGCACTAGGCAGGTAATGCAGCCAGAGCCTGAGGACTCCCTCCTGATCTACACCAAGAAGCTGCCACTCCAGATTGTCTCTTCACACCAAGCAGCAGCTGGCAATTTTGCACATGACCAGACTCCTTCATCCTACATTTTACAACTGCATGTGACTTTTCTGGGGCCACAGTGCACAGGAAATCAAAAGGTCTCTGACACTTAAGGTTTTGAGCCCCCAAACATATCAACACTCTGGGCAATTTTGCCATCTTGGCCACTTTACACATCCTGGTACATCTAGAAGTTGTTAATTAACACATTTGTGGAATACCATAATTTTACACAACGCTTTGATTTGACCCATGTCAAAACAATCTCCTATGTGACCCCAGGCCCACAGAATGGAGACAGCTGGCTAATTATGGTCATCAGCATTTCCTTGTTGGCCTTTAAAGGCTGACTAAATGCAAAACAAAAGCTTAATTTAAACTTGAACCCCAGGCTCTTTCCATTTGGTTTGTGATGAGGCTCCAGAGTGTTACTGAACTCAGCACTCCCTGTTTCTCACTTGTTGGAACAACACTAAGTTGTGTGGATCAGCTCCATCACAGCTTACAAAGTCCCAGTTAAAGCCAGTACACAGACAAATGGAAATTTCTTCAGAATAAGGAACTTTACCTTGAAGGTAGAGTGGAATCTATACGATCCCCCTGAAATGTCCTGTTCCAATTTTAGTAGACATAATATATACAAAATATATATGTGAAGCAGTTTTCTCTTTAAAATTGCACTCCCCAAAGTAAAAGATAATTTTAAAAAATGTACTAAATTAAAACAGTATATTTGCATATGAAAGCATGCAGGAATATGTCCTGCTACAGAGTCTAAATTCACCTTATACACACATATAGATGAAGGGAACACTTGCCAATTAAGATACCCACTATACCAAGCACTAATCACAGGCTGTTGTTCACTGCTGTAAAGACCATCAGTGAAGATCTGGTTCTTGTGCTTCCAAATTCACCCTGATTTTGTGATCAACAGGTGATTTTTTTACAATAGTGCAGTTACAAGTGTGCAACAGACCTTGTTTTTCCAAACCAGATAACAAGATCTTGCCTGTGGTGTCATGCTCATGCATTGCTCACCAGGATGTCTTAAACAAAACACTGAGTCCAAGAGGACTGAATTAACAGACTCCAATCTTCCTGTACTTCTATTTTAGAAGGGCCACTGAATCATTGTAAACTAAAATACTACTCTTGAACCAAGCAGGAACTTGACTTCTTTCACAAATGCAATTTATGCCTGATGGGAGTGGCTCACATTTTGTTTTCAACAACTGTAATGGTGCTGATCAGTCAGCAACACTATAATGCATAACTGCTGTGTGAACCAATCCCTCAGACTTTTGTTTTAACATACACATCTATATGGCTACTTAAGGTGAAACCCAAGTTAATACACATTTCTGGAGCCTACAGAACATGAGGAAAAGCTCCCACTGTAACTACCCAGCACACAAAATCAGCTGCACGACTCTTCACTCAAGATGGTTCCCTGGGCTGGCATTTTGTACTTAACATTGGTTTTTCCAAAAGGTGAAGAAAAAAAAAATCTTCTCTAAAGGTGCTATTGCAAAAATGTATTTGAGAATGTAAACCCCTGAAATCTATGCAACTTATCTGCCAGTATCTTTTAATATGCAAGGCAGACTTTTGTTGAAGAGAAAATTTCTTCAGAGCTCCATTTTGTAAGCGGTTCAATATTCAATGACACAAGCACTGAATTTCAGGGGGAAACTGCTTTAAAAACATTGTTAGTTAGAACCAGGCTTTGCTGGAACCCTACAAATGAGAAATTAATACTTCTTATCCTGCTTTAATGTTTTAGCTCCTCTGGCAAAAAACACACTTACACTTTGAAGCTCTTTGCAAATACAATCACACCAACCACCACCATTTGACTGCCCACCAGCAAATGACACTGCTAAGGCTAAGTCAAGATGATTCTCATCATACAATCTTGGGATTGGATGCTGACTTGCAGCTGGACAACTTTAGCTTGCTGTCCAGCACTAGGAAAACAAAAGGCAACAGATCATAACATGCAGGCAAAGAGCAGCAAAGCATCAAGTGGGACTTGACTCAAAACATACCTCGTGGGAAGGGTCCAAAGTTGTGCACAGTTCCGCTTCTCACGAGAGAAATCCAAGTGCAAGCAGATTTTAACCATACACTGTGACTGGGAAATGGTTAGCTTAGCTGCTGTGACCACTTATCACCATACTGCAGGACAGAGGACCCATCATTCCCAAGGAAACAAGGACTGATGTTACAATCAGAGATGAAGTGCACATGCAGGGCTGGGTAAGGAGGCATGCAGGAAGTTTGTCTGACCCCTGCCTGGACACTGACCACTCTACCTTTCCTTAGCAGCCTCTTTCTTTTCAGAGGTTATCTAAATGCAGTTCAGCTTTTAAAGAAAAAAAACACACAGAACTTGAGTCTGGCAAGCCCAGCACCAGCTCCTGCTCTCAGCAGATGGCTCAGCACAAGACCACAGCACAGTGATGGTTGGGCCCTACGTGGGGGAGCCAACAAGAGCAGGAAGCTACGGAGAGCACCAGAGAACGTACCTTCTTATGGACAACGGAGGAAGTGGAATTAATGGTGCTCTCATCACTGTGTATCGTGACCAGTTCAGAGCTGCTCTCATCCAGGACCTCCTGCATGCTGCTCACACTGCTGCTCTGACTGCCTGTGCTCACAGACATGCTTGGGATGGAATGGTTGCTGCCCAGACTGTCCATCTTCCTACTCAGGTTTGATCCATGCTCACTGTCCTATAAAACAAGGGGCATCCGTTACAAATACTGCAGGAGATCATCTGTCCAGCACGTGCCTGCAGTGCTCAGAGCTTGTTTTAAAGGCCATGCTGCAGAGTTAAAGGTTCTTTGGTCATTTTTTGGCAGCTGCATTTCTCAAGGCTGCTTAGTTTATGAAATGGGACAGTTAGTTTTTGCCCCTTCTCCTGCAATCTTACTACACCAGGCTTCAAGCCACTTGTTTTCCACATATCAGCAAGTCTGGGCATGGCTCTTTGGCTTGAGACATCCAGGAATACTGGATGGCTGGTGGAAGGAGGCTCATAACGAAAAGGAGCAACCTAAGTTTGCATTAAAATGATGTTCCAAGTCAGGATATGTACAACTAATTTTGTGAATCAGAAAAGATGTAACCCATTTGGTTCTGATTTGATAACTATCACATGGTGCCTAACAGGTTTTAACCTCCATATCCCAAGTAGTAAGCAATTATATTTTGTCAAGCTAATGTTGTGTTTTCAGCCAAGATAAATTCTTCATCCACCTTTATGCAGCTGACTCAGAAGAGCCTGCATTATTAGTAATTAACACTGTTGTAATCTCCTTAGACATTGGTAAATAACTATTCCTCATATAGGACTTTTTTTTTGTTTCTACAAATATCAAGAAGTTAGCAGCCTTCTTTCTTGTTGCAAACTCACACCAGCTCAGTAATCTCAGGATATGTGCTCAGTCTGGACTTTTTGGATTTTGGAGAACTGATGGAGTACTTTGTAATTAACTAGTAGCACTGAAGAGGCTTGCAAGGAGTTCACAGTGAGGACCAAGAACTCCAAATATCCTTCAGCTCGTGGCCCAAAATAGCCCTGATTCACCAAAATGAATGTGCTTGCTACTGCACCCAGCTTGTCCTGGCCTTCTAAGTGATCTTAGGGAGAATTACATTGCAAATCAATTAACAGGGTACTCATTTTGTTGGAGACAAAGATAAAACTGACAGACTTGACAATTTGTATTTGATTGTGTGATTATTTTTTAAGCAATAGCAGATCATTCAGAGTCTGTGTGAGAGCACTTCAAATTAAAAATACAAAAGAATACTATTTCACAGAGAACAGATGCACGTGAGAATGAAAGTATTTCCAGGAGGCTTCCATAAAGTTGCAGAGGAAATAACATAATGAAGCATCTGAGTTAAGAATATGGTCATGTAACTAATAAATGTATATGCACAAAGGACAGCTGAGATTGCATATGCAACCTTAACATTGATTTCCTGACTTGAGTCCTTTCCAGATGTCCTTAACTTTCTTGGAAGAGCTCTGAGGAAAGCATTAGTGGTATTTTTGATGTTAAAGATTTGTCATGCTCCTTTTCCACCTTAGAAAGTCTTGTGGCATTTATATTGTGGTTGTGCAGCTTCTGTTAACCAGTTAAGTAGGAACTGAGGCAAGTGCCATGTTTTCCTTTCACTGCCAAGTTAGTGCTATGACCTCCTTTTGTGGCACACAAGCTCAGTGGTAAAAGGCAGTGCAGAACATGCTATGCACATGCAGAGTGTTAATTCCTAGAGATGCAATCTCTTTCTCTTTTGAGGTGGGGACGGGAGGAACAGAACACACATCTTGGAGTCAACTACTTCCATGTGTATCTCACTTAGATGTTGAGCTGAACAGGCAAGTGGGAAAGATTCCTTTGCTCTTTCCTACCCTGTCACTCTCCTCAGTTTTTCACACCTATGGAGACAAAGCTTGAAGGTTCCACTGCAAAAAAAATGACAAATCCCCCTTCTCCACACCCCAACAAGGAAGCTGGAGGTTTAGAAGTTGACTGGCTGGATGGCCAGAAAATAACCCTTCCTAGTTTTAATGCCAGTGGCTGTTATCCTTGCTCCTCCTGTGCATCTCCCCCAGTGTCAAGGACAGTGCTAAGTGCCAGTCCCCTCCTCCTCTAGGCTCTCCTGTCACCCAGGCTCACTTATTTCTTAAACCCAAGCTCTAGTTTAGCCTTAAAGGAACATTTGACACACAAACTTCAAAACCTGAATCTATGCTGAGCTTGGGCATCTCATGCATATTTTATCTTGTTAGACCACAGCAAAGGGGAACATCAATTAGCCCATCATTTTTTAGTTTTTGTTGAGAACCAGTCCTGGGTTTATTTACCCAATGTGCCTCCACTAAATGCCATTAACTTCCATCTAATCTCATCAATTGAAAAATGACTGGTTTCCTTCTCTAAGCCACAGTTAGTGTCAATTATCATACACTGATTAAGTGGGTTGTTTACGATAAGATTTAGACTGAAGCTGATCTTATGTCTTTATGTTGTGTTTTTTTTCTTTAATATAATTTTGTAAAAAGTCTTACTAATTTGATTACTTGCTTTTCAGCTCATGATAGGCCAATTACTTTAAAATAAAGTTATGGTACTTGAAAAAATATTAACATCAATCAAGGGGTCTTGACTGTACTTTCAAGACTGAAAAGCTTGGGCTGTCAACAGACCCTCCTCCCCACAGGCTGTGAGCCACTTTCTTCTCACTGAGATAATCTTTCCAAAAGAATTCCTTCCCTAAAGCTTTCAGAAGAAAGGCCACCATGTGGAAAACAACCCCAAGGTTTTGAAGCTGCCAATAAATGCACATCCAGCACCAAGGCTACTGTCAGTCATCAACCTGCCCCGTATCTCTGCTGATCCAGATGACATTCCAACAACATGGATTGCACCCTCTCCTGGGGCTGTGCCTGTTCTGCCCCCTTCAGCAGGGGAAACATCTCGCTTTGCCCTAAGATTATTTGTGACAGTGCCAATGGGGTAACAAGATAAAAGTACCTCCTCCTCTTCCTGAGACTCAGTCAGGGGGCCGTTCCGTGTCTCTTGGAAGAGGATTTTCTTCATTTTCCTGTACTGCAGGTTGTCCAGCTCCCGGACTGCATCCTTTGTCCTCTGGATGAGGTCTATTAGTACCCTTGGAGGGCGGTCCCGGCGAACAAAATCGTGCTAGAGGAGAGGAAATACAACAGCTTCAGACACAACACTAGTGTGTTTGATGTCAAAACAGGGACATGGTGGCTCATCTGGAGAGACACCTGGAATGACAGATCATGTTCAGGAACTGTTCTGCTCATATTCAGTAATTAACACCCACTATGACAGACTCCAGACACACTCAGCACCACAGACACTGGCTGTGCTCAGCACCACCTCCAATAACCAAACTGGTCACACCAGACACTGAGTTTTGCAGAGCAGGCTGCTAAACGTTTTGCTTAGCAGCCAGAAGAGCTGCACAGAACTCGGCTAAAAGCAGAGAGAAGTGAGGCAAGAATCACTTCACCACTTGAAACTTGTGTGTGTGTGTAGGCAGGATCACAGGCACTGCAGCAGCAGAAGCAGCTGAGTGGTGGCTGGAGAGGTGAGACCTGACTGACCCTTCACAAGGTCTCTTTAGCCCTGACTCTGAGTCACTTCTCTGTCTGAAGTTAAATAGTTTGGACTGAGGTTGGAATGAGTTTTCTGAGCTCTCCAGGCAACTAATTTATCCCTTCCCAGGCTTGTTCACTTGATGTGTATAAGGTACAAGACACTTCAAGCCTCACAATGAAAGGAGGAAAACGCATGAAGGACAAAGAAGACTCAATCCTGACTGTGCAAAATCACCTAACATACATGCAAAGGTTTCTCCTGCATCTACTGATTCTGATACAAAACAAGTAAACAACTTCAAGGTTTATTTATACTCAAAGCATTTGCCATGATTTAAAGTAAAATCAGGCTCTTACCAACTCTTGCTAAGGATGTACTAGAAGCACAGGTTTTAAGTCCAGACTTAACAATAAATAATTCAATAACATTTCAGTATGTGATTAAAGGCTCTTCTCTGATTTATCAGGTATGTTCTCCTAAACTGTACAACTGCCAGCAGGCTTCAAAAGCCTTGCAGCTTTCCCATTTAACCTTTGACTAAAGCAGACAGTCTGTGTATACACCTGCCAAAATTCTACATGGAATCTCTGGCTTAGTGTGTTGCTTCACATCCATCTCAGGAGATGGCCTGGAGGCACAAACATCTTCTGCACATTCCTAGAAACATCAACAATGAAAAAGAGAAAGGAGGGGAAAAAGTTGCTCTTTACCCTGCATTGCAAATGCCACTAAGAGCCTCAATTGTAGCTGGAGTAACTGGTACATGAAACCCAGTCCTCACCACAGGAGTCTGATCTACCAAGTTGAAAGGATACACCAGTCTCCTCTTAATGTCATGCCACAGGCTTATTTCTTGTTTTTAATTGAATTCAATCTGCTGTGTATTGGAATTCTACTAAGGGGGACAGCTAGTCACTTCACTATCCATTTTCTGCTAGTAGTGATGGTGTTCATTTTTTATTATGGCTAAAAGTTCCAAACATCATTTCACACACAAGCAAAATGAAGCATTTCTGCTCCTCAGTGCAGATAACCACTCTTTATTTTTCTGTAAACAGCAACATTCTGCAGCTTATCAATGATGAAAAAGTAACCATTTTGATCTCATGGTAAATAATTTTGAGAAAGCAGTCATGCATTTGGAAGCATGGTTGTGAACTTCAATCCAGTGCCTCCATGTTTATGCATATTCATTAGCAGTGCAAATTCTCATTTCACTGGGAAGATCATCACAGAATCATTTCTGTTCAAGCACTACTCAGATATCAGAATGCAAACACAGGGAAGCTGTAGGGCAGAGGAACACAAGTGAAAACCAAAAGGCTCTTAATGAAAATAGAATGCAATTCTGACTGCTCATTTGCCCAGAAAAAGATGCAGGCACCCCTCTGCTAGGTACTGTGCAACTCTAAGAAATTATGGCTGGCAGGACTTAATTTGTCTTCCCCCCAAATTACAAAAATAACCCCACACCACATAAAGAACAAAACCAAACCAGATTCAAAGGGGTTACTCAAAAGGCATGTAGCAAGTTGGCTGGAAAAGTGACTAACAGAACTCAAGTCTCCTGGGAACATCATGTAAGCTGAGAAAAATAGGGGGAAAACTTGTTTTAAACAAGTTCTATTATTACTTTCAATTTTTAAACTGAGAAAAATGTTAGTGAGATCATTTTGAGAGTTTATTAATTTAATTTAAACTGCATTTTAGTATCACTACAGTCATTTGGCTATTTTCATCTGGGATTATGAATAAAAACTGAATTAATTCTCAAACACCTCATTCAGTTCAGTTATCTACGAAATCATGGAATGGTTTGGTTTGGTTTGGAAGGAGCCTTAAAAATCATCTAGATCCAACCCCCTGCATGGGCAGGGACACCTCCCACCAGCCCAGGTTGCTCCAAGCCCCATCCAACCTGCCCTTCAACACTGCCAGGGATGGGGCAGCCACAGCTTCCCTGGGCAACCTGGGCCAGGCTCTCACCACCCTCATACTAAAGAATCTCCTCCTGATGTCTCATCTAAATATCCCTCTTCCAATTTTAATCTATTCCCTCTCATCCCATCCCTCCCTGCCCTTGGCTCAAGCCCCTCCCCAGCTTTCCTGGAGCCCCTTCAGGCACTGGAAGCTGCTCTCAGGGCTCCCTGGAGCCTTCTCTTCTCCAGGCTGAACACCCCAACTCTCCCAGCCTGTCTCTGTGGAAGTGCTGCAGAAGAAATATGACTACAAGCATCTGCTCTGTTCACTGTACACAAGTGAAAAACCCTCAAAAATAAAAAAAGATCTCAATTTTTGTAAGATAACAAGCCTTAGGTGGAGCTACTGCAGGAGGGAACATTGAGGGCACTGTTCTGAAAGTCTAAAACCAAATAAAAAAGACTGGATATACATGACTTCAGAATTCTTACGATCTTGGCTCCAACTATTTGCAGACTCCAACTGAAGGGACTCATGAAATCTTATCCTCCAATGAACTTAGCTATTCCTAGAGAGCAGAAAGGCTGCCAATCCACATGAATGAATCATTCCAAAACCCACAACATAAACCTATTAGCTGGTCAAAGGATTGTCAGGGTGCTGCAAGCAGAACCAGAGAACAACACACTGGTTATGTGCCCCAGCACAAATGTGTTTGCAGGAAAAAATAGACCAGGTGCCAAAGAAAGAGCACAAACAAGCTCTTCTATCAGCCTTTAGCTGGAGAAGGAAGGTTAAATATTCTACATTGCCCAGGCTTAAAGGACAGAGGGAAGGGCAAAGCTCAGTGAAGAGTGCAAGGGTTTGATTGCTCTCTTCAGGAGCCAAGAAGCTCAGCCACATCCATGAGAACACATTTTACTGAGCTGAAAGAGCAACAAGAGAAGCCATAAAACCAAGGCTGAACTGAGATCAGGCAGAAAGATCATTAGAAGACATATATTCAAAAGGTATAAATTAATCATGCTCACATTAGCATTACTAGAGAATAAGGTCAAAATAACCTTCCTGAACTTTATCTGCATCTGTCCAAAACAAAGACAAGACAGTTCAGATCACCCTCACAGAACAACCCTGCTCTGATGAGGAGATAAACATAGGTCATCCAGCCTCTTTCCATCTCTAATGCTCATGTTCCTTTAAATAATCAGCCACTATCTGTGAGTCTTTATTAAGAGCTCAGTCCTCTGATCATGTGGAGTATAATTCTCAAAGTACTACCAGCTCTGCAAAAGCTTTGCTCTTGCCTGTGCATCTTATGAAGAGTAAGTTGAGATTTTAAGTAGCAATTAATATGGCTTTTTAGGTTTTCTATCACTTCCACAGAGAAAGCCTGTAGCAAGCTACTAGCCTTAAATCTTAGTGAAATTGCTTATAAGCTTAGTAGCAAGCATAGCCTGCACACAACAGAAAATGAACACTTTTCCTTCCTGAAGAAGGTAAGCAGAGGAATAAAAGGAACAAGGTTATGGCTGCCCCATCCCTGACAGTGTTGAAGGGCAGGTTGGATGGGGCTTGGAGCAGCCTGGGCTGGTGGGAGGTGTCCCTGCCCATGCAGGGGGGTTGGATCTAGATGATCTTTAAGGTCCCTTCCCACCCAAACCATTCCAAGATTGTATGATTAACAGTTACATATTTCACACAAAACCCACATATCTGCTCCAAAAAGGTCTTTGCTTTCACACCAGCTGCCCCAAGTAACAGCTTCTCTACTCTATTTGGAGGGCAAACAGGGTTGCCTCCAGCTTCCTCCCTCATTTCTGTCTGGTCTTTCAGAGACCAGATAGCACAGCATGGTGACAACTCAGGGCATGTTACTGACAGCACAGCATAGCAGAGGGTCTGCTGAAAATCCCTTCTTCATCAAAGCAGTAGGAAACATCCTCCTAAATCCTCCCTCCACAGAAAACTAGTGGTTGGAATCACTTCTGCAGCACAGATTTAACTGATCCAGCTCTGGACCTGCTTTTCATTGATAATACTTTAAGTATGTACAGCATTGTCTTGGAAAAAATCTTTTAAAAAGTCAAAATCAAGATTAAATTCCTTAACAGGTCCTTCTCTAACACAAATGCAACCTCTGCAGAGCTCTGGGGTCTAAGAGCAGCAGGTTGCTGAGCTGCTCACCCAAATAACTCCTCACTCAACACTAGAACTGTTTGACCACACAGCCCACCTCTCTTTACTCCAGTAGTTTGACTCTTGAGCATCATGTTATAAAGAGAAATGTGAGTGACACAACAGGCAAAGTCAAGAATTCAGCAGCCAAAAATATTCCAGCCTAAAATACTCTTTAGAAGACCCCAAAACTCTTGATTCCAACAAATCCAAAACCAGCGCTTTTTTAATAAAGGGCAAATATTTGTTTACCATCTTTAAAATTACTTTTGTAGACACATTTTCCCCAAATTTCTGGAAAAGATTTGAGAAATTACCCGTAACAGATCTGTAGATGATGGCCTTTCCTGAGGTATTTTCTGTAAGCAGTAATCAACAAATCCCCTAAAGGAGTCTGACCTGTAAATGAATAAAAGAAGTTCTAAATGAAAAAGAAGCTTCGGATCTGGAATATACAGGCTCATTAGTGCCAAGCAAAAAAAAACACCACAACAAAACAGAAACAACCTTGACTAATTTGTTCTTAAGTTCTAGGGCCAAGAAATTGACTGAGCTTTTTCCAATACTGATTACGTTGATCCCACCAGTTCTTTCAACAATTAAAAACTGCTGCAACAAATACGGACACAATTATAACCAACCCCAAACTGAAAACCAAGCAAGAACTCTGTGTACCAGCCACTAGTTTCAATTTTACTTCAACTACTTAAAAATAGATGACAATTAAATCCTTCTAAGTCCAGAAATGGCCTCCAAGTTAGCTGATGAAATGGCTTTCTAGAACCTTCCCATCATTTGTATCACTGACTAAAGCACCTCTTGTTACAATGCTTAGTTCAACTAACTATATATGAGCTTGTATCACATCTGAAAAGGACAAAAACTGATTTGTAGGTGTCACTGAACTCAAAAGCAGCACAAAAGGCACCTTGCTTACTACTCCCTGTGTTCTCAAAGCCACAGAGAGCAAACAGGTGACTGTAAACAAACTGCTTGCAATCAAGAATACTGATTCTTACACTCTAGTCACAAGTTGCCTCTACTCTGCATTGCAAATTCTGCACTGAATTTGGGTTCAGTGTGCAGAGAGGAGACCAAGTTCTTTCCATCTTGACAAACTGACAAAACAAAGTTGCTGAAATAAGGAAATGGGTTTGATAAAATGATCAGTAATTAAACAATTCTGCTACTGAAATGCCTAACAGTGTAACTGGGGGAACTTCACACCTCTCCAGCAGTGACTGAAGCCCTCTGCAGACTCTGCCAAGCTTTATTGCATGGCTCCATTTCCTCTCTTGGGCACAGAGTTCAGAAAACAGGGTAACCCCTTTGTTCCCACAGAGTAAGAAAGTATTCTTCTATCAAAAGTTGGATTCTGGAACAAGCCTGTCACATAGGCAGCATTTACTGCCCACAGAGCTCTGATGACTTCTGAAGTCACTCACTGAAAACAAATCTAATTACCTCTATATTCTGTGTACCTCTCCCCTCCCCTTCTCCACATTTCAACAGCACTACAATGCTAACAATTATTCTGTCAGGGATCTTCTGCAGCTGGAAATTTTGCTGAGGCTCTGCTTAATGCACCAAAGAACACTTTAATTCCTACAGCATCTACAGCCCCATAATTAACACCTCCATACATTTAGATTGTAGCACAGCCAAAGTGACAGAAGGTCAAAATTGAGCCTGCCTACACAGGAGCATTATTTGAGAACTCAGTCAAATCACTAGGCTGCACAAACACTTCTCTTGTCAGACTTTAACCATGCAGGGAGTGTGGCAGAGCGTTTTCAGGGGAATAAAAGGAGCTGGTAATAGTTCTCTTACCATTCATTTGACTGTAACGTAGGGGAATCATTCTGGGCTATGTGATATAAGGCACTCATTGCATTCATGTTGAAAAGTGGAGGCTTCCTTTCAGCTAGAAAGAGAAGAGAAAGGTGTGATGAGGCAGTCTGGAAGGAAAAGGTGAAAGATATGAAAAGCACAAGCAGGGTATCACTGCTGAATCAAGAGCTCATTACTGCCATCATCACATTTCAGCTAATTATTTTAATATTCTAGGTTAGACCAGGACAACCACTCCAGGAAAGCTGTTATTCACTTGAAGAAGGGATGCCAAAATCCAAAGAGGACAGGATGCAAATAAGGAAAGTTTCCAGTAAATTTTACCTAAACTGCAATGTTTCACACCTGACCTGCCATGCTGAGCTCAGCAGAAGCTGACAAACATGCTTAGTCACACAGCATGTCAGGGCCAGGAGATGCAAGTATCCATCCCTGGGGACCTCTGATGCACTGACACAGCATCTGTGTGAGGGAAAAGGAGTGGCTGCCTGTTCCACTTCTCACTGGCAGTCACCTCCAAGTGGGACAGTTTGCCAAATTCAATTTCCAGATGTGTTGTTAAGTCCTCTTCACTAGTCCTTGCACTGAGCAGACATTTACCAGCCCCTGAGCTTTCTGATCTCACCCAGCAATGGAGAAGGGCTGTTTCTCCCCACCATCTAAGCTCAGTCCTACCAATCAGCCACTGATGCTAGGACTATCAAGTCAGGTCAGAACCACCACTTTTCCTTGGCATGCAGCATGCATGCAAACCACTGCATTTTCTTTTCTCTAAACACTGACTTCTGGCTCCACAAGAAATTCAGACCTCAGCATTCAAAGAAAGCTCAACAAGAAATGTCCTCCCACCACAACCTGACCCTGTGTTCAGGGTCACACAAAAGGCAAAGCTCAAAATTGTTTTTGTTTTTGTTTTTTTTTTTTAAAGTTTAATACTTCTCCAAAGGATAATATTGAAAAAGCAACCCCATCAACTATGTAAAATAGAACCTGGAGGTTCTTGACTGAAAAGCTGAATAGAAATTCTAGTATCAAGACTCAGTGTCTACAGAGGGTAGCATCCTATCTATTCTACCCTGCATTTTACTCCCTGAGAGGCCATAACTAGTCTAAACTCCACATGAAGTAAAAAGTCAGCCATGCAGAAATCTAGAACTTCTGATTTTTGCATCCTTTATTTCAAAATACAGACTGTGTCACAGCAAGGCATTGGCACTGACACAAGTAAACACTGAAAGTTACTAGTCATTTACACTAGTCATTCACATTACTGTCTCCATACTGGGGTCAACATTTCTTCCCATTCTCTATGTCCCCCTCTTTGTTATCTCACATTTATAAATCACATTTTCAGTGATTTATAGTTCTTCATCAAGAACAGTAAATTCTTGATGTATTGCTGTTAAGTATAACCTCTATCAGGAGCTATCTTTGAAAAGCATCTACTCAGCACATGCAATGTCAATATTCAAACTTAAAGTGCACACGTTTGCTCTGTGTACCTGCCATCACACCTACACCTGCTTCAGGTTGTGTGGATGGGTAGCCCTTTGCAGTGCAAACCCTTTTCTTCTCATGTAAAGAACCTGTCCATGATGATTCCTGTCACAAACTCTCAGCTGAAAATGAAGATTTTTGTTTCAGAGAGTAGGGAAGTAAGAAGAATTGAAGATTACATGTAGGTCCCTTCTGGCACACAATTTTAGGACATCAGTTACCTTGGCACAACAGCTGGAACAACTTTCTCAAAACCCAGCATGAAAAATAGACTATAAACCATTGCTTCTTCTCACACAAGACCAGAATCCTCCAATTATTAAGGGAATAACTGAGCACACCAGATTAAGGCAGAGCAGCATTAATAGCTTACTCTTGATTTGCCAGTGAGTAAAAGATTTCCGAGCCAGGCTTTTCAAAGAAAAAAGCTTATGAGGAATAAGAATCTTCTGTATTTTCAGGACTTCCTAGTAAATATTGCAGACAGTTAATGATTCATCTCAGCTGCCAAATATTTACTCACCTAACTCAATACATGTGATCCCAAGGGACCAGACATCCACCTTCCCATCGTACTGTCCCTCGTCCATAGCAAGAATCACCTCTGGTGCCATCCTACCAACCACAGGGCAAAACAGGCAGGTTAGGGGACACAAACTGGGACTCCCAGCACAGAGCTTCAAATGAGATGGTTTCAGTATCTTCAGCAGCACACCAGAACTTAAAAGAGCCAGCATGGAGCTGAGTCAAGCCATGCTGAAATGAAAGAATGCTTGCCTGCACTAGCAACTCTTCCAAGAGGCAGTTTGAGAAAGGAAAGTAAATAAGAGGCCAACCTGATCATCTTGCTGTTAGCATAACATGCTGGCACATGGGGGACCCACACCCATCTCAGGGACAGACAGCAAGGGCTGGGAGAGTCCTAAAGGCATCATTTTCACTCTCACCAGAGCTGGTGGGTTTTCCATTGGTGCACCGGGAGAATTTTCCAGCAGATATATGCAGCCTGTGAGTGTAGCTAGGAAAGGAACAGGGAAATCCAGAACAGAGGGGAAATGTGGTGGTCTGGGATAAAGGGATGAGTAGGGAGGGGGGAAAAGAAGCAGTGGCCCCAGTTTGCAAAAATGCAGCCTCTTAACTTTTATTCTTCAAAGATGAAGCAGGCCTCTTGCCAAAGGGACTTGTTCAGAGGTTGGGCTGTAGGTGACCTCCCATCAATGCCTGGGGTGTCTGCCACAAAATAAGTGGAGCATAAAGCTATGCTGATCCACTATGTTAGGAACGCCAAGCAACACAAGTGACCCTTAAGCAAGCTTATTCAAAACAGAATTTAAAGAGCTGTGTGGCCAGGTTAAAAGGATTCCCTTTCTCCACGTGGTTGTATTGGTTCTGTTACCTATAGCAACCGTTAATAATTTTAAAGCCAATGGCATCACACAACTCAAAACATTAACTGGTGCCACTTTAAAGTGCTGCACAGCCCACCTCTGCTCATGGGTACCAAGAACACACTTCCTGAAGAGCTGGACACAGGGATTTTAAGAAGACTGCTTGGTTAACAAAGTTTTTATGCCAGGGATTATTTTCAGACTGGGAAATGCTGGAACTGGAAGAGAGGAGGCTTATGGAAGGACTAAAGTGTTGCAGGCTCTACTCACCAGTAAGGCGTTCCCACGAAAGAATTGGCAGGGGAGACTATAGATGCAGACCCAAAGTCAGCTAGTTTCACTTGACCTGGTTCTGTTAGAAGAATATTTCCAGCTTTAATATCCCTTTAAATAGAACAGAAAAAAGTATACGTCTGGTTATAGTAGAAAAAGTTCCAACAATGTAAACACACTTTTTCTCAATTTAACATTCATTAAAAACTGAGGATATTTAGAAACCTACTATTACAGAATGATAAATCAGAGACAAGGCTTTTCTTTTTTGGAAAGCCTGGCTTCTCCCAAAAAGGGCAGAGGGTGAGAGATGTGCCATGGTTGCAAGATTGAGGCCCCAAACAGAGATCTAGGATAAATGTATCCTAATAGACATCTGTGACATCAAAACTGCTTATCAGTAGTAGCAGAGCTCCAATACAAACAAGTTGCTGTGTATTGTCAAACATGCTCATACTCTGACTCTGTGAAAATCAGGCTAATTAGTTAAATGGGAGGGGAGACAAAGCCATCTTGATTTGCTACAGAGGAACAGCACCCACTGAATCATCACACAACAGCTGAAGCATAATGATTTGGCATCAAATGCAAATCCAGTCTCACTGCAGACCCAGAGACCAGGGAAAGCTGAACAACCCTTTTCATTTGATACCAACATTGGTGAGATTCATTTGTCTCCAGCACACAGGATAGACAAGGCTGGGAGAGACAGGAATTTACTCAGAGTACTTCAGACCTGCAGTCAGACCCTCTCTTCTCCCATTCCCAGGACAGCACTGCTTCAAAACTAGACCTATGGAACTTTTCACACACAAGTGCTACTCAGAATCATGGAATGGGTTCAAAGGGACCTTTAAAGGTCAACAGGCCACCACCTTTTGGGTCTATGAATCTGTCACTTCTGCTGGAGGACAAGTACTAAAATCACCTTGTATGCACAAGAACAAGCAACCCAAAAGCAGAAAACAGAGCTGTCCTCATTGCTGCCATCTCCACTGTACAACCATCCACAGAGGACTCAGCAACCACGTTAGGGATTCAGCAGACCTATCTGCTAACTAAAACTTTGCCTCCTGCCTGCAATTCAACAGAAAAATCTCATCTTTGGCCACCTCGTAGCCCGCCACGAGAAGGTAGCAGCAATGCCTCGGGAGCCTTGCTCTGTCCCTGCATCCCCACAAGGTGTCCCTGCACTCCCAGGCACGCTGGCTTTGCCTTCCCTGCCTTTGGGCAGGGACACCCCCCTGTCCCCCTGCTCTGCTGCCTTCTCATCCAGCCTTTGCTTTACTGCTCCCAGTGCTGCTGGAAGCTGCGGCAGGGGCAGCAGGATGCTGTCCTCCCAGTGAGCAGCTCCCCTCTGGATGCACCAGCACCGCATTCCTAACAGCTGGAGCCTGCCAGCCAGGGAATGGCACTCCTCACCTCTCCTTTTTAAGGTACAGCATCTCACAGAACACTAGATATGTCCTGATGGTCTCAGAGAAGACTTGCCTCCCCATCCCCAAAAGTTCAAATATCCCTCGGAAGAAAACCAGCTAGTTAGGAAAGCCTAGAGTGGTACCTGGAGTCATTCCATGCTCATGGAAAGCTCACACACTGCAGGACCACCCCATGCAGGACACCACTACAGCTGTAGCACTCATTCAACATGTGAGATTGCTGGATGTACAACACTAATTGCAGCACATCACCAAGTCCTAATGAGTATCAAAAAACCCTCATTCTCAGCAGTGTCCAGACAGGAAGTCATTTACTATAAATAAGAATTCAATGGACTTTGAAAACATGTAAAATATTTCAGACTTGTATTTTTAAGCTCAAATAAAGGCAGACATGCAAAGGAAGGATAAAAAAATAACCTTAATAAATTTGCATTCATTTTTAATTTCATTTAAATATGATTAAATAACCATGTGTAATTTGCCCCAAATGGTTATTCTAAAAGGTGACAAATAATTCTTGTATCTGTAGAAATCCCTCACTGTCTCAGCCTCAGACACACCAGCTTTCTGTCTCAAGCTTGCCAGTAAACTACACAGAGGCTTTTAGCCCCATAAATTAGTCTCAAGCCAGCTCTATTACTCCACTTTACTTGGCAAATTTAGGATTATCTTTTCCTGTCAGTGTTTTCTGCCACTATTCAGGTGTATTCTTTGTTACTCAGGTGTCTGCAGAGAAAAATTTCTAACATGGAAGAGAATTCAGCACAGGTTAAAAGCACATTATTTCAACCCCCCAAAAATGCACTCATTAACTGCCAACAGCTTTTATTTATACATTAGGAGCACTGACCTGTCCATCAGAGAAAATGTTGGTAGAATAACATTTACCAAAGTCACTTAAACACAGTGAAACAATTGCCAGGCTCCAGAGAGGGACAGATGGAAGGACATTTGATAGCACTGAACTCCAGCCTTACCTATGGATCTTACAGTGAGAGTGCAGGTAGGCCAGCCCCTGCAAGGCACCATGGGTGATGGCAGCAATTTCCACTTCCTGAAGTGGTTTCTTGTGAACTGTGGAAAAAAAATATTAAAATAAAAATCAAAACAAAACAACCTAAGAAGGTGAAGTGTGGTCTTTTCCTGAGAAAGTGTTCTTGAAGGGAAGGAACCCCCACCAATCCTGCCAGCTCTAAGGTGAACATCTTCATTGTCCTACTTCCCTCTGAGTCCATGCACAGCTTGAGCATTCATTTCACATCACTGGATGTGAAACTTCCCACTTTCCCCCCTGCCAATAGCTACGACAAAACAGGAAAATGAGGAATACCAGCTACAAAGAGATGCTCCAAAGCACCTTCCACATATCCCTAAACACAGCCAGCACACACCTTTGGCTGACCATGGCTTAGATACAAGAGCTACAGCCCACAAGAAGTACTAGATTTTCCAAACTTTGGTTAGACTCCCCATTTTTCTGCAGGTGCTGTTCCAGTTTTGAGGTGTTATCAGCCTCTTTTGTTCTATGAAACCATCTATAGCTACTCCTACAAATTGCAGGGCAAGGGCAAAGGTGATCTTTGCAGGTTTTTGTTATGGATATTAAGAAAACAGGCAGTCTGCTTGCAGTCATCAAGATGACACAAATTACAGGAACACAGCTATACATATTTATACCTTTGTTTCATGACACAAATGTGTATGCCTAGTCTAGGGAGCACTGGCCTCCTGGGAAAGTCTCAGCTTACTCTTTTCATCACAAACAGGCACATTCCAGCTACAACAGTATGGGATATTATAGACAAGACAACCTCTAGCATCTCCAAAATACCAGTCTGTGAGAACCAGCCTCCCAGAAGGGACATTAGCAAAAAGGAAAGCAAAGCCTTTATAAAACTTACCCTCTAGCAAGTCAGAAGCTGATCCTAAGCAGTACTCCATAACCAACTGCAAGAAAAAAGTATGGTTTTCAATAAAAGGGTGGACACTGCACCATAAACAGTTACTACTTGAATGGCTGAGAAACAACAGAAACAAAAACTGAAGTTGCAAGAAATGCAGGAAGATATCAGCAAAACAAAATGCTCCAAACACTGCAGCAATCTGAAGACCTCTCTCATTGCTGGGAAGGTTTAGGCATTAAGTTTGTGGGGAGATATTGGAGAGGTAGTTCCATAGTAAGGGTTTAATCGTTATGAAGACAGGGGCCTGTCTCAGAGAAGGATGGATTTGTTCCAATATCCTAAATAACTATTCCTAGAAGTTTCTTCAGATGAAAGGGACTAGAGGCAGCATGGGATGAATGCAGCAGCATGTAAAGACATGGTGTGCACTGAACCTTTGTACATTTTCTGCTCCTGAGGAGCTCTAAATGCCAGGTCCCTCACTCACCCATGCTGTATGCTCCTTCAGGTAACAGCCCTTGTATTCTATGGTGTTGGGGTGCTTCAGCTGCTGGAGAAACTTGACTTCTTTAATGATATCCTGCCATTTCTAATAAGAAAAAGCAAAAAGGGATAAATACATTTATCTGCTTAGTCTCCTACATACTCTCATACACCACACACTGCAGTGCAGTCTGAAAAGCAACCATAAAGCTATTTTACAATGTAAAGAGTGTAAGAGTCATAGTTGCAAAAGCACAAGTGTGCATCAGTTCTCTGGATCCCTACTGCACCAACACCCTGCCTGGATGTACTTAAAGCTTGAGCATTGCCAACAAATTATTTTCTCATTTTAACTGCAATACCTTTTACTTATCATAGACTCATAGAATGGTTTGGGTTGGAAAGGACCTTGAAGATCATTTAGTTCCAACCCCCCTGCATGGGCAGGGACACCTCCCACTAGACCAGGTTGTTCAATGTCTCAAATTCTTAAAGCATTGCTACTATTCTGTATATTGAATTTGTAGAGATAGTAGCTGTTCACTTCCTTCTGTAACACAACACAAAGCCACTGACATTTAGCAGACCTCAGCACTCGTGAGAGACCAACAGGTAAGGAGGGAAAAACAAGTTGAAAACATCCCTTTTTGCTCCAGCTGCCAAACACACTCTCTGGTGCACATTGACTCCCCAATCCAAAGGAGCAGATTCAACCCAAGTTCAAAGTCAAAATTTGCATCAACACATTTTCCCTCCACAAACCTCAATGCTTGGGGTGGAAGTGAGCAACAGCTGCCCCATTAAAAAGCTGCCCTGCCAGGGTCAAATGAAACAGGCAGGTAATTTCCCTGTGCAGATTTACATGATGGTTGTAACAGCTTCTGCATCCAGAATTGGCTTTTTATTCATCTTACCTCATTTGTTTGCTTTCCACTATAGGACATTTTCTTGACTGCCACCACCTCATTAGTGTGGGAATTTGTAGCCTGGAGTAGGGAGAAAGAAACAAATTGAAGAAGTTTCTTTTTTTTTTTTTTTTCCCCCTCCCATGGAGTGAGCTGTGCCTTTGGCAAATGCAGGCTTTTCTCCTCCTGTATCACATCCTGGCAAGCTCCTACACCTCAGACACATCATCTTTCTCACGGTAAAATTTACCAGACAACCATTGTGACACTATTTTCTGACTATCTGTCCATATCCACTTTTCCTCCCTTTACCCTCACTGCACTTACTGCCTCTCCACTAATACTGCAAAACAAGGCCCAAAATTGCACCTACTCACATACGAAATATAATTTTATTGGAATTGCAGTAAAAACAGTTTTAGAGAAACCTTTGGAAAAGAAACAAAGAGGTGTATTGAAATCTCTAGAACTTCATCCAAAACCTCTATACAACATTCATATTCTTAAATAGCTATTTCAATTTCCAGTTTAAAGAAAATGCTTCATTCTGGAATTTATCTTAATTTTAAAAAGCAACCCTTACTGCACGATATCTCAGTTTTGCAATGAATATTACTCAGTCATTACAACTCTATTTTCTGCAGCCTGTATGATACAGGGATGGTGACTGAAGACTGAAAACTCAGTTTTTTTAAAAAAGTTCTACTTGCCTGGATTGGCACTGCCCTCATTTCTGCATGTAAAGGACAAGAAACTTGGAGGCTTTAGTCTTAAGAGTTGTTGAAATCCCAGAACCTCCAACCATTTTCCATTTTTGTGACAAGAAATTAGTGAGAGTTAAAAGCTTAAAATACAATAGAAGCTAAATGTGGTAAATCCTTCTTTCAGCTGCTTGAGAAGATGAGTACCCTACTTTCAAGTAACATATTAATGAAAGACATTTCATGATCCATACATTGACTTCAAAGGAAAATGATGTTGGGTGAGCCAACAGACCACAGGAATTTCTAAAGCAAGTTGATAGACTCTTCACACTCCTCCTCAAACAAGTTAGAGAAATCTGAAAACAGCTTTTGGATGAGAAAAAACCCTTCCTAACCCTTCACCATCCTGATTCAGCACAGATGATCAAGAGTATTTTTCTCAAGTAGATGAATTAATGCTGGTGTTGTAAAGAAATTACAAAGTGTTCCTTGCCTGTTACATTAACTCCATGAATCTTCAGATGAACATGCCATCTCTCATTTTAGCCCCAATTTTTTTTTTGCCAAATGGCACCCTGCTGTGTTCTCACAGCTGTGGGTGAAGTTCTTCCTGTACCAAGCACTTGGGATCCTCCTGGCTGAAATAACTTCAAGGGCTCTACAAGATCACTTGACAGAAATATCCACTTGCTGAAGTGGTTTTGGCCATACTTGGAGATCTTCAGTGAAAAGCTTGGCAGAAAAGCAGCATATTTTGCTTGCAGGACCTCCCTTGCACTGCCCTCAGCTGCTTTATCACTTCTCCATATTTCTAACATGGGTACAAGTAGATTGTTTTTGATTAAAACTATTCTTCTGAAGTCAAGTGCAAAATCAACTTAGTGGCTTTCAAGTCAAGTTACCATCAACTTTAAAACCTGGTGAGAAGTGACGTATTTTTTTTCTTAGCCTTCTGACATATGACATCACCTTTCTTTCAAGCAAGTTATCTTGCCAAGCCCTGGCAATAATATACTGGAGAGCAAAACAGCTTGGAAAAAAAAAAAATCAAATTTTTGCTAGAAAAAACAGGGTTAACCACCAGAACAACAGTGCAGGGATGAATGTATGCTGTTTATACTGGTGAGAAGTGACGTATTTTTTTTCTTAGCCTTCTGACATATGACATCACCTTTCTTTCAAGCAAGTTATCTTGCCAAGCCCTGGCAATAATATACTGGAGAGCAAAACAGCTTGGAAAAAAAAAAAAAGTCAAGTTTATGCTAGAATAAGCAGGTTAATCCACCAGAACAACAGTGCAGGGATGAATGTATTTGCTGTTTATAGCAGTGTCAGGTCCAAATAAAAAAGGTGAAAGAAATGCAGTAACAGCACAATAATCCATGTCCTGCTCCTTCTTAGGTATCTCAAGTCTCTTCTCCATTCTTTTAGATGATTTAGAAAGCCCTGTTCCTTCTAAGGTTTTTTGAGCTATTATCATTTTTTGATACCAAGCACATCAAGATCCCTGGACATCCTGCTGTGATGACCTGAGATCTTATTCTCAGCCCTGCCTTACTCCAAGATGCACAAAAATCCAGACGTAGGACTATCATGACTGTAATCACCAAGCTTGGAGGATGCAGCCACTGCAAGGATATTGCCAGAAGCTGCAGGCTGGCTAACCCCCTCCATGGTTTGTGAAGTGCAGACCATTTACCTAAAGCCTCCAGAGCAAGGAAGAAGAGAAGCATCAGGAAATGCAAGTTGTAAGCTTGCTTGGTAGATTAGATCTCTAACTCTCATCACCTTCTTTCCCTGGAAGTATGAGGAACTTCTGAACACCAGAGTTGAATGATAAAGGTGGCACCTTCCTTGCTCCATCTCTGCCCTAAAGCATGCCAGGCATCCTTTCCCTTTGGTGTTGAAATGCACTGGGTGGGACCTCCCTACACCCACCTAAAAAAATGCTTGCTCTTCTTACAGAGTGGATCAACAGGCATCTGAAGTTTTACAGCCTCACCCTCTCAGGCCTGTAGAACACTTAACATGATACTTTCACCAACCTGTCACTTACCCCAGCATCTAGAAGGGTCTGTCCCACTGCTGACAACCCCCATGGCAGAAACTCCCCTTTAGCATTGCTACCAGACTGTACATGGAGGAATTCCATTGTTATTCCATTGTTACCTGCTTCCCTGACAAAATATCAAGCCCCTCTCCTGTTCTCACAACAGTTCCACCATCACTGAACACAACCATAAATGGAGAACTGAAGTGATTGCAAATACCTCCTGCTAGTTACTGCCAGGTTCTGGAGTCACAGCTGTACAGGAGCTTAGTTAAAAACTAATGTCTGATCTTCGGAAATCTCAGTTCTAGCGAACTTCATCTTCTGGAGTGGCAGGCCCTGCTATCAAGAAGCTTTAATTTGTCATTGACTGTTTTTTTCCATACTGAAATAATTTTAGTTTCTCTGCTAGTGACTGGATTATCATTATTTCCAAATCCAGTATTTTAGATGTGTCTTTGTTTGGTACTACTTGTAAAATCACTATTCTTGTGGCTGTCCAGATTAAATTCTCTTGGTTATCAATGAACACAACATTGTTCCCACTTGAATTCCCACTCCTCTTAAGACTTCCACTTTGCTTTTGCTACTGAAGATAGTATCTTGTGAGATGAACAGGGGGACAAAGAGGTGGAAAACAGACTGGTATCTCAAAGCTATTTTAAACTCCTAAATTATCAGAGCAGCAAAGGAATCATTCAAAAGCCTGAATGCAATGATGGGACTTCCACACTACCCAAGCAGCCACAATACCAATTCATTAACAGTAGCTTTTAACTCCAAGTGCATTTTGAATCATTAATTCACTAGATCTATTCATTTGCAACGATTTACAAGCATATGAGCACCAAGCAGCATATCTTGAAATGCCAGTTTGGCAAATTAATTTCCAACTGCTTAAATTCAACTTCCAGCAGCATCAGGCAGCACAAGATACCATACACTTAACCTGAATGGTTGGGTGCACAATGAAGACTGTAGTCAACTGCTACTGTAAAAAAATAAGAAAGAAAGAGGTGAAGAACTATACTTACAAAGTAAACTGCTCCAAAACTTCCATGTCCAATTTCATGTAAACCCACAAATATTTCCTCAGGATCATCTTTGTAGAACAGGTCAGCTATCTCTGGGTCCTTTGGCACCCCTTTGCGCATGTTGAACAGTGTTAGGAACTAGTTTGTGCTTCCAATTTCAAACCAATTTCTTCCTTCATCGACAAAGCAGTTTGCAGACAGCATTCAGCACCTGGTGAAAAAGTTTATCTTTAATCTGTTTCCTTTATGCACTTTTCTGCTTTCACTCGTCTGACAGCAAAATAAGAGGAAATTCTTCCAGAAGCAATAGATGTCAGTATTGTTTCCTTCAACTAATTCTTTTTAATTATTAGTCCAATTTAGATGTAGAGATTAAAATGCATTCAGAGTCCAACAGCTCTTTATCTCATACAGGAAGTGAGTGCTGCAGTTACACTGAAGTCCACTTGAAGACAACAATCCTGTTGCTATGCAAAACATCCCGTAATGTGATTTTGTTACTCTTCGTGCTGGTCTCCTGATGTGTCAGTTTTTAGACTATCACCATTGTTCCTCCTGCTTTTCTCTGCTGTTTTTTTGCTTGGTTTCTCTACTCCCACTTACCAGCTGGTGCTAGGAGAAAAGTTACCTTCTGTGCCACAGAGACACTTCACAATCACATGATTATTGGTTTTTTGTTATTATTTTTCAGAGCTAGAAGACAGCCAGTGTGGATTGTGATGGCTCCCAGGTCACAGAATTGCTTTTGAAAGATCTGAGACTCCATCATGTGAGCCAGATCTTTACCTCCTTAACATCTTCCTTTAGCCTAAGCATAGAATCAGACAGCACAGAACTGAGCTGCAATTAAATAAAGATTTTCAATATTCGTCTCCAAAAACATATGGGGAAGAAAAAAAGAAAACAGAAACATCATAAAGTTTTACATTTTCTATGTAAACATCCTGAAAAACTTGCATTGGGCTCTGGTGTGCAAAGCAATGATTGATGCTTCTACCCACCTGCTTCTGACTTCTGAGACCCAGCAGTTTCTAGGTCTGAAGCAGGTCTCAAAGCTGCTTCTAGATACCTCATTTATCAAGACCACACCTTCTCTGTGCATAAAAGAGAACTTTTTGCCTTCTGAAAATATACACTAAAATGTTTAGCCTCCCTCACGATCCAAACCAGTGTAACATTTAAAGAGAGAGCAGCTGAAAATTAGCAATCAGATAAAATGAAACAAAACACACACAAAAGGCTTTAGGAGGTTCCAGACTGCAAGTGCCATCCAGGCTGACTGAGGAAAGCAGAGCACAATTTGGGTCTGGGGCTGAGGGAGTTGTCTTGGCTGAGGAGGAGAAGTAATGGGGCAGGAAGCAGAAGCAAGTGCTGATCACCAGAGGTGCCCCAGGAGCTGTGCTGGAGTGTACCTGGGTCACTGTGGCACAAAGCATGCTCTGTGGCTCAGACTCCCCTCAGCAGCATTGTCTTGTGCTCTCCTCCTCCCAGACTCCACGTGCTCTCTTATCCTGCAAAGGAAAACAAATACTAGTATTTAGAAAAAGTACTTTAAGTTTTCTACCTAATTTTAATGTACAGAAGTACTATGTCTAGAGAAGGGCATTGACTATCAAGGCAGCATTTGAAAGCACAGTTAAAGGCAGCACTGGCTGGGAGGACTAAAGGTGTTTCTTTAGGTGAAGATACTTCTGTGTTCTTATAGCCCTTGGGTTTGCTATATATCACTAAGACAGGACACCAGGAAGGCAGGTTAAATACCATGCTCTTTGGCTTTTCTAAAGACACTTCAGTTTACCAGGGCATAGGAGGAGCATGGATGTTTGCTCTCAGACTACATTTTTTACATTGCCTGTAAAAAGGACAAAGCTCACCAAGCTGAGTCTATTATTTAGCACAGGATGTTGGACCTGATGACATCCTAATGCCTTTCTTTGAAGTCTCCTAAGGCAAACATTGTTGGATTCCATGAGGGAGAGAAAAAGCAACGAATAGATGAAAAAGGAAGGCAACCAGTTAAGACCCATCAGCTGAAATCAGGTCTAGTTTGCTCCCAGCTCAGGATACAACTGCCTGCAGTCACTCCTGCCCAGGCAGCAACACCCCAACAGTCACAGCCATCCTCTCAGTTCAGTCCAACACACAGAGCTTGGAATTATGTCTCCCTCCCAGGGAAGATTTTCATGCAGCTATATCCACAGGAAAAATGCTTCACAAGCAAAGCAAACTGCAATAGTCATATTGCCAAAATCTTAATTCATACACATCTTGAGTTAATGACAAACAAACTAACTCATCTTCTCATTTATTAAGGAAAAAATATGAGCTGGTAGCTAACATTACCAAAAATGGTATTTTTGTCTACTGTTCTCAACACAGGGCAACAAAATTGAGCTGCTAAAAAGCTATTTGAAGAGCTCCAGAAAGAGGATCTGCAATGTTTAGTTTAATAAAAAAAATACTTTGAGAAAATCCCAAGAACAAACCAATGACAAAAGCCAGATGAATGAAATGATTATTCATTCTCAGCTGTTTGGCCTCACCCAAAGGTGCTGTATTTACTACGCGCCTGCAGACAGGGGCAAAGAATGCAGCATTTCAGGTCTGGCATTCTTCAGCCAAATGAAAAATCCATGTGGCTTTAGAACAATAAAACCAAACAGTTTTATCCATCTCCAGGCAAATGAACTTTCTCTGCCATGAACAAAATGTGTGCAGCTCTAATACTCAAGGATAAATTAGTATTTCAAATGGGAAATTACATGTTAATACTTAAAGTTAAGCCTTAAGTAATAATGTCATCCTCCAGTTGAGGCAGACACACACAGCAGGGCTGCACAATTGGGAAGTCTTTTCA